TATATATATATATATATATATATATATATATATATATATATATATGTATGTATTATATTATAATATAATAACTGAAGTCAGTTATGATGTTCTTTGGTAATGTAAATATTCTTTTCTCTTTTTCTGTTTGAATAACTGAGGAAATGTAACTATTTGATAAACTGCTCGTCGTCAAACATTTCAAGAACATTCTTCCTCTCCTTAAAGATTTGCACATGTTTCTGTCTCCTCAGCGCCATCCCAAGCACCTACTGGCAACTCCTAACCACTTGAGAGACCTCTCGAGCTGTCTTAAATAACTGGGAGAGTAAGAGTGATTCTTAGCTTTAAGAAATTTGATAACTTGCTTTTAAACTTAAGTTTGAAATTAGGAGTACATTTAATGAATTCTCAGTACTTAAGACTAAAATGGCACTTTGAGAAGCTTAATAAATACAGGCCCAGAATACCTACATCAGCGGTTCCCAACTCCAGTCCTCGAGCATGTTCCATACAAAGGGCATTAAAGTGTGCGAGACGTAAATTTAAATAGTATTTATTTACAGAATTATATTATGTCACACTTCTCTAGTAAGTTCCTACAATAGGCTACTTCAGCGTGCAAATCAGTGAATAAATATTCTGAAGTGAAGTAAACTTCAACAGATTTCCCCTGCTCAGGGAGTAGGGAGCAATGAAAACTGTGTAGGGATCATATCGATTGGAACACAGTTCATGCACATAGCTCACTTCTAATGAGCTGATTATCTGAATCGGGTGTGTTAACTAAGCGAGACATGCAAAACAAGCAAAGTGGGGGGCACGAAGACTGGAATTGGGAACTGCTTGGCTACATCATGTGTCATTGACCAGTGAGAAAACTTTAAATGTACTACAATACCAGGAAGGAATATCGGGTTGTTGATGTTTGTCTGCCATTCTCGCTCTGTCTGCACAGCGTGCGTGAACGCACTGATGACGTATCCTGTCTGCGCGAACCGGGTGTGCAGAGGTATGCTAATACATACATTGACAGGCAGGTAGGAAAGCCAATTAAAATGCTTGGACCAAGCGTTTTGATTGGATGAACATATCCTGGTCCTACGCCTTCTACAGAATATATAAATGCAGATAAATACATTTAGACCACTGTGAATTTGGTGTGAATGATGTGTAGAGGACCCTGGCCCAGGTATTGTTATATTTGACAATAATTGTTATTGTTCACTGATCATTTAATAAAGGTTAAACAATATGATGGACAATTTAATAAAGGCAAAAAAAGAGAAAAAAACTTACATCCTGCTATCCATGTGTCACCAGAGGACAACTATCTGCATTTGTCATCGTATCCCTCTCTTTTGCTGGTCACAATAGTTCAAGAGCGTTCTCTGGCTTTGCGATTGAATGGAATACACAGTATAAGCCAGCGTCACACTGCTAAATAAGATCGACATAATTTAGTGGAAATCGACATGAGTTATGATTTTTTTTAATAACATATGCACACTTTTGATCTAAAAGATGTATTGGAATTGAATACTCAGACACCTGACACAACGGATGTCAGATGCTTTGAGCAGGTAGGCCCATGTGCTTTATTACTATCTAAACTCCTAAACCTCATTTTGATTTTGCATGTTTTGTGTTGTACTCCTGGTTAAAATCAGTATATTACAGGGAACAGACTTTTTTCTTTATAATAGTTTGTACAGATTCGCACATTTAACAGTAACCATGCATTAAATGTAAACAGCGTACCCAAGCATGCATCACTAGCGCCAATGGAGATGTTTTGAGCTTTCTGCAAGCCAGTGGTTGTTCTTGCAGTAACTTAAGGGTTTAAATATTCGGGCGTCTAATTCAATTTCTTCGTCTCTCCTCATGAAAAACTCAGATTCCCCCCAAAGCTACAAGTTTGTAGCGCTGTATTGTGTTGGTCCCCTATCACTCTGTTTGGTCCTGAGAAATATGTGTTCAAATGCTGTGATTCAGTCCACCACCTTATTTTGATAAACACGTAAAAGGCAATTAAATTATGTTTATGCGTGTTTCTTGGGGGGAAAAAAACGCTTGAATGTGAGCAAGTATTAAATCAACAAAAAAGACTTGAATTGTTTGAGAGGTGTGATGTTATTTGTAATTATTCCACTGGGGAACAGGGATTGCAGGATTAGACAGTGCTAAAAAGAAATTAACAGGAGAGTGGAGGTCTAATGTCACACAACTAAGACACTGAAAGCCTTTCCCTTGAGTTATGATTATAGGATAAACTGATGTTTGAGCTAATCAGGGGATCTTGCTGATGTGTGCTTCTGCTTCAGGGATGTATTGAGTGATCTCATGAATTGGTTTGATAACAGTTGCTGTGGGGTCTCTGTTAATTATGCTTATTTTTCTCAGTTTTGATTATGTCAAGTGAAATCATCATACTGCTCACTAACATAATTACTTAATAGGAGTGCTGTACACAACCTAGGTTCAGGGTTGCCAGATAAGTTAGCTAGAGGTTGTCCAGCCCACAGAAAATGGTCACAAGTGTATCTGAAAGTCAGATAAATTCCAAAGTTTTAACCTTTGAATCATAACACAAAAGCATTAAGTTTCAAAAAATATCTGTAACTCTTAAAGAATAGTTTAAGGTAGGGTAGGCAATTTTGGGAGGCTATACAAGATCTCATCCTCCCTGCATAATCGCTCTGCAAAGCCACACCTCCTCTAAAACACTTGAACACTCACAGGCAGGCCAGAGGCTAACCCACGACACAATGAGAGACGGCATTGGTGGAGGGTTGAATGCAATTCTTTCAGATTACCTCATGTCTTATTCTCCAGAGAGAAATCATTACAGTACAAAGTGCATAATATTACAATAATAATGTTTTCTATCCTCTCTTGGTCTGCAATAGCATAATGGACCGCGCTGATGACGTATCATGTCTGTGTGAACAGGGTGCTCAGAGGTATGCAAATACATACGTTGACAGGCAGGGAGGACAGCCTATCATAGCCCTCGGATCGAGGGATATGATCGGACGAACATTTTATGGTCCTATGCCTTCCACAGAAGATTTAAATACATGTAAATTCATTTAGACCACTTAACTTAGTGATTGCTATCGGGATGTGAAGAGACTTTCAACTAGCATAACAAAAAATGTTTTTGAACCGAATCACCTACCCTGCCTTATAATTTTTGTTAGTTTTATAACTAAAACTAAAAATTTTGCTTGAAATAAATCATTATTTAAATAAAATCAAATATTTTAAATACTAAAATGTACTTAATTTTAGCTAGCTGCCAAAAAACATTTCTAATGTTCATTTAGTTTAACTTGATGTACTAAAACAACTACTGAAATAAAATGAATAAAAACTGTATAGACCTAAAGTATTAAAAAACAAAATAAATAACAAAAATGCAACACAATTACTGTAACAAAATTCTGAAAATTAAAAATATAAAATTAAAAATGAATTCAAATAATTACTAAAATAAAATGATAGTATCTGGATGTTAAAGAACACTAAGGCCACACATCAAGTATAATGATAACGACACAGAAGTATGATATCGCTGGGTTTCTTTATAGTTAATGTTCTATGACATAAAATGGCCATTTTCGGTTGTGAACCGAAGGAAAGAATGAACAAAATCAAGAAACTGCCCTGTCTTTTTACTCAGGTCATGGGCTACTTCTAACTTGAACAGTCATACAACTTAATACGCTCTGTTAAAGTTTGTGAAACATTTATAATACAGAAAGGAACACATCTGATGTACATGTATTCTGTGTTAGACCTGGGCGCGCATCCATTAAACTAGAATGGAGCAGTAGTCCCATGTGTGTCTCTCCGCATGAGCACTAAATATGGGAACACTGATTTGGGGTGCGTTTCCCAAAAACAACTATGGTCACAAGTTCCATCTTTACCAATAGAGTTCAATGGAACTAACGACCATAGTTAGCTAACGATGCTTTTGGGAAATGCACCCCTGATCAGCTGAATGCTGGAGGCACTGGTGTCTTTCAGCATCTTTAAACCCTATACATTTAGCCATTAGGCATCTATGAAAAAGGTCGAAACCCACAGATTTAATTTGAGTGTCAAATTAAGATCAGGGTAATTTATTTATTATATGTTAACACTTTAGCCTTGATTGATTAGGGGATATTCATTTTACAAATAAAAACAAAATTGCTAATCATGGTGGATGTGGCAATCCTGAGGGTGAACAGAACTGGACAGGTTTTAACTGATCTGATAATAAATAATTGTGTGTGAGTGTTGAGGGAAATTTACTTAGTTTTAGTTGCATAAATCACATGAGTTTAATATATTTTTTAACTGTCCAAGCTTATCACAAATCAGCTGAAATTTTATCAACCCACCTATGAACATGTTTTTCTTTTCCCCAATCGAATTCAATCAAACTCATCCAGTCTGGCATCACTGCATAGGTTGTTTTTATGAACAAGCGTTGGTGTCAAATTATGCACCAGCTTAAGGGCAAATTAAGCTCATTATGCACATTTAAATTAAATTTACAGTTCATCTACAGTTCACCCCCCTGAAAGTGTCATAACATGCATGAAGCCAAGTCATTTCCTGGCACTTTGTTCCCCTTCTTTCACATCAACCTTCAGAAAAGGAGAGCCAAAGGTCACTGTCACCTGAGCAGTGGGGCAGGTGTATTAAAGTGATTATTCTCCTGGGAGCCATGAATTGTCTAAACGATTCATGAACTCATCTAATTTTAGTCAGGACAATGAGCAACTCGTGCTGTTCCTTGGAAGGATTATTTTATAATTATAGATATGAAAAAATGTGCCTAAAAATTATGAATTATAAAATGGATCTTAACTCATTTATGACTTTCTTTTCCATGCCATGATGACTTTGATAAAAGTGTATTGAAAAAAATATATATATATATTGTATTGTACTTATTTTACAATATCATGTAACATTGCAATGTTTTACAAATAGTTTGGCAAGCTCATCATAAGATCTGTAAAGATGTATAAAATAACAAATCTTATATGTGCCCACATTGTTCTGTTCCTTTAATTTTCTTGGACCAGTTGCACCACATTTACAGAGTAAGTTTTTCAGAAAAAAAGCCATCTGTGTTACAGTCATGCCAATGAGACAATTTAAATATTAAATGGTTAGGTTTAGTACAGATTGCAAACAGTTTGACAGTTACACCACATTAAAATGAAAATGCATATATATAATATTATATTATTATTATTATTATTATTATTGTATGGGTAAATATATCAACAGTGAGTTGAAGTCGGGAATCTGTTTTCCTGTTCTAAAATTTGATTTACATCAGAGTTCATTGTGTTTTCTGTTTGGCTGAATTTCAAGTGGAATTCTGGTTCCTTTTACTTTTTTTTAAAAAATTTTACTTCAGAGTTCATCTGTGTGCTTTCTGATTGGCTGAATGACAACTTGTGTTGTTTTTCTCAGTGCTGAGAAAGAGAGTAAGTGAAGACAACTGTTCACGAGCTGCTTCTCCAGTGATTTATTTTATTTCTTTGAGTGTGAGTCATGCAAGATTAATGAACCCTGCATTACATAATAATAATAATAATAATAATATATTATTATTATTATTATTAATGTCTAGCTGTCCTTTTATGGAATGAAAGCTTCTGGAATCTCAGTGTCAGAAAGATCAGGGGTCTGTTACATAAATGTCTTAGACTAGTTTTACTTTTTTTTCTTTCTTAAAGAATGGACATAGGTTTTATTTTTATTTTTTTGCATAAAATCTTATATTATTAATGCAATTGAGCACAAAAAGTAAGACTGATTATTCATTGGCTAACTGCTGGTGGCAGTCTTAACGTAATGACCGTGTTTATGCAACTGGCCCAAAATGTTTTTCCAAAATAATTATTGGAAGAACACTGGAAAATAGAGAACATATTAAGGGAGAAAAATATTAATATTACATATGCTTGAAACTATGTACACTTGAAATGTATGCTGCTTGTTAGTTGATGACCACATCCTGTTCTCATTGTGAAGCATCTCTACAATTCTTCACATATTTCTTTTACAAGAATACAGGCAAAATAGTGATTTGCAGGCAGGGAAGCCACAGTATAGCACTTGCCTCCTCCAAAGCACAGTCGATAAGACACATGTCACTGGGTAGGAAAGCGTGTGAGTTTAGTTGAGGCCTTCCTAGTGTCTGTGCTAATAAGATGAATGGAATGCCTCATACACCTTTAATGGCTAACAGATCTAATGAAGTGGAAAGTTTTGTGAGGCAGCAATGGTTTTTGGGTAAGATGAGAGAGAGCAAGCAGTAGAGAGACTTAGACTGTAAAGCAGCAAGTGGTGAGCTTGAGATGTAATATGGATTTAAAGCGTTTGCTTAAGGCTCAAACCTGGTTAAGCAACTAATTCCTCATCTGAACTCTTATAGCCAGGGATAATAATTCCCACTCATACATCTTTCTCTGTTGGAAATCTTTTACAGAAAGGGTATGAAAGATGAAAGAGGCAGATATGTACGCAATTATGTATGCTATTTTGATGTAGAAACGCTAGAGTTCAGTCTACAGGATGAAATAGGAGAGAGCTGAGATAACTGTAAAGTGCAATAAATGTAGCATTGGTAGTAAACTAATGCACTTATCAGGTACAGTATGCATGTAATGTATATACGAAATTTTGCCCTCATTTCAAAATATCAGACAATTTCATTTATGTTAGACAAAGAACACAAGAATAAAAAATATTTTTTTTTTGCCTGAACTACCCTTTCTTAAAGGAGTTGACAATTTCGATTACTCAGTCAAACTTAGTTAATATGAATCAATGTTGATTCTTAAATCCTAATTTCAATGTGTTAGCCTATGCTGTTTTCAGTTGATATGTGACTAAATTTCACGCTTATTGCTAAAAATTTTTAGCTTATTGCTAAAAATGTTTTGCAACATGCCTGCCATCCAACAATCGCAATAAGCTTTGTTACTTTTGATATTAAACAAAGTCTGCTTTCAAATTCTGTGAGTTTAATCACAAAATTCAAACAATAAATCTTGTTTTGCTACATACTTCAGTTCAAGAGGCAGCGCAGAGCACACATGAAACGATAACGTTGCTTTGACTAAAGACACACATATGATATAGGTGTGCTTTCTGTATGCATTATCTGTCATACCATTGTACTTGAGCAAGATATTCTGCATCAATCTTCTGCTGAAACAACAGCTTAAACCAGGTGATTTGTAGGTATTAAATAGCTGGTGTAAGCTGAATTAGTTGAGGTTCCAGTTGATGCTGGTTTAGCTGAGCAAAAACCCTTTTGACACCAGGAAAAATCAGCTTGAAACCAGCTATAACCACTGTAGAAAAGCAGTTTATTCTTGAGTGGTCTACATTAAATATGCTGTTTGGTCAAAATCACCCCCTGCTCTGACTATTCTGCATGTTTAACTGACAGTACTGCTTGTTTACATGCAAGACAATATCAACTACATATTATTATACTTCATTTTTCTCTGTGAAGATCTTATTTGGCAGGAACACTGTCCCTTGGCAAAACTTGTGCAGTCCACTCTTTGTGAAAGATGACCAAACATTTTTAATCCTAGGACTACAGACAAAATAAACAATTTTGGAATCTGTTTGCAGCAAACAGCTTTAAGTAAGCTTCTCAGCCAGCCTTTGAGTAGCATTTCACTTGTTCATTAAAGGATGCCTTTCATTAACAGATGTGTGATGTTCTGGGCAGGCAGGCTGCGGATATCTCTTGGGTTCAATCCCCGACCCAGTTTGGAACGACACCAAGTCACTTTAATATGATTTACTCGCAAATATCCACACAGCTAGCAGTGCTCCAATTTCATATAATATAAGTTTGGATTTGGCACAGGTGAAAAACAAAGCTCATTCTGTTTCAATTCAGTGGTTTTGTTTGTAAGAGCATAAATCAACTATTGTCTGGTAATTCATAATTACAGAAATGTAGCCTCAATTAAGAGACAACACATAACATTTGTCACCGTATTCATTATTTATTCAACAAAAAAGAAGGACAGAATAAAGAAACAGTGTGGGAAAAATTAAGCAGTCCCTTACTGCTTCTAAAGACATTAAGAAGTTAATTAGCAGCTAGGTTCTGAAATTAAATGCACATAATTAGTAGATAATTAGGGAAGTCTTACATCCTTAAATAACTGCAACTTTTTGTGGTCTGCAGTATTTAGCTGTGTGTTACTGTATCACCTTACTAAGGATTAATGTTACACTGTAAGAAAAAAAATCAACAGACATTATAAGCAGGGGTGCACATACATTTTTCAGCCTGGTTCTCATAAGAGAACCTGGAGTTCCCTTTGTGCCACTCCGACGTTGTGTCGAGTGTACGACACTAGGGGTCGCTCTTGGGAGCCCAAACACCTCTGACATCTTTGAGAAAAGGCCAATGAAATTGGGTGTGCAGAATTTTCATAGCTGGCCACGCCCCAGACATCCAGGTATAAATAGGCCAGCGTGGCATCTGCTCACTCGTTCTGTTTTTCGGAGCCGAATGCAGCGTCTCTCATGGAGAAGTTGCAATCATTCACCTCTCGATTCCTCGTTGTTGGATCTAAGGCACGGTCAGCGTTCTCTCCCTACTCATACACAGATTAGTGTTGTGAGAGTACCCCTGGGTGCTTCAACAGCGATCTCTAAAAGACAGTTTCCTCTAAAAGAGTACAATTTCTCTGAAAGAGCTACACCGGTGGAATTGTGTGTTTGATCATGCCTTTCCGTCCGTGTTTCTAAGTAAAATGTATTTATATATCACCTTTCACAGACAAAGAGTCACAAAGTGCTTTACAATGATATCAGTAAAACAAGTCAAACATACATGCAATCAAATATACAATAAAACATAAAATCAAAACAAATTAGATACCAAATATAGCAAAAATTGAATAGCAGCTTAACTATACTGTTAATTAAAAGCTTGTCCAAAGAGGTCTGTCTTTAGGTGTCTTTTAAAAGACTGTACTGAACCCAAAGTTCTCAGTGTTAGAGGGAGAGAGTTCCAGAGCCTCGGAGGCACAGAAAGCACGATCACCTTTTGTCTTAAGACATGTTCTAGGAATAGTTAAAAGGACCAGGTCAGAAGACCTTAAGGACTGACAAGGCGAGTGTGCAAGTAATAAATCATGAATATAGGAGGGTGCCTGACCATGCAAGGCTCTATAATTAATAACTAAAATTTTAAACTGCACTCTAAAAGCAATAGGAAGCCAATGAAGATCCTTAAGTACAGGAGTAATGTGGGACCTCTTGATGGAACTAGTAAAAATTCTTGCTGCTGCATTCTGTACAACTTGTAGCCGTTCCATAGAAGATTTGTTCAAACAAGTATACAGAACATTGCAATAATCCAATCGTGATGAGATAAAGGCATGAACAAGCATCTCCATCTCTTTTTTTTGAGA